GCCCGGCCTAATTTTCATTTCTTTAATTACTGACATAGATCATCTTCTTATACAGTTATTATCCAAATGGATTTCCTTTCTTTAGGATACTCAGATCTTTTGTCCATTTAAAATTAGGTTGTCCTTTTTAAAAAAACTTGATTTATAGGTTTGTTTTTTTTTTAATAGAGACAGAGTCTCGCTGTGTTGTCCAGGCTGGAGCGCAGTGGCTATTCGTAGGCATGATCATGGTGCACTGCCCTTAAGCGACCCTCCCGCTTCAGACTCCCAAGTAGCTGGGATGACAGGCACCCACCACAGTGCGAGGCCTGTAGGAGTTCTTATAATGTGAATACTAATCTGTTAGCAGTTATGCTTTGTAAACCTCTCTCACTCTGAGGTTTGTGTTTTCATTCTTTTTATGGTATCTTTTGATGAACAGAAGTTCTTAATTTTAATGTAGTCAAATTTATCAGTCTTTTCTTTTAAGATTGGCACTAGTCATGACTTGTTTAACAAATCTTTCCCTACTTTCAAAGTCATAAAGATTATTTCTTGTATTATGTCTGAGAAACTTTAGGCTTTATAGATTAGCTTTTTGGGCTCTTCATAGTTAAGTCTTTAATCCATGTGGAATTGATTTTCGTGTATGGCATGAGGTATGTGTACATTTTTTGTGTCAATGGTATATGTATATGTGGTCCCAGCACTATTTATGGAATTGATCATCTTTTTGTCAGAGGTCTAAAATGCCTATTTTGTCATAAATCATGTTTCCATATATGTGTGTATGTGTTTCTAGGATCTCTATTCTGTTCTATTGGTCAGTTTGTTTATGATTGTGCCAATTCCACACTGTCTTAATTACTGTAATCTTACACTAATTTTTTGATAGCTGACAGGCAAATTTCTATGCTTTGTTGTTTTTCTTTAGGAGTGTATTGGTAATTATAAAGCTTTCACTCTTCTACTTAAGATTCTGATAGGAATTGCATTGTCTCTATAGATTATTTTGGGGAGAACTGATATCTTTAACATATTGAGTCTTCCAATCCACAAATATGGTATATCCTCTCATTTATTTAGTCCTTGGTTTATCCACAAATTTTATTATTAATTATATCCTGTAATTCTTGCTTTCCAATTTACCAGTATCTAACATACATTTTGTTTACATTCTGTGGAGTCCCATAAATGGTCTTTGAAATCTTAACATTTAATTACATTTTCACCTTGTACACAAGGTTTGAGAAAGGATTTTTACATCGCTTGTGGAGAACAGGATGCCAATGTCATACAATATCTAACAAGAGAAACAGCATGGGGAAACAAGATTATTTGCTTCTCCTAAATTGGGTCTTCATTATTTTTTTAGAAATTTATTTCTGTAAGATCATACACATATTTTGAAGCCAATTGGAAATATTTTTTGTGCTTTACACATACAGAGTGCTTAGTAAATACTGAATTGAGTAATTAATTTATCATTTGGATTATCCATCATTGCCCTCTGCCTAATACTACAACTGAGTACTGACTCAAAGGGCTGACGTGACTAGTGTCACGTCATTAAGTAATGTGTAACTGAATGCTTTAAAGATGACTTTTCACTTTCAAAGAGCATGTTTATATTACACAACTAGTAAAATCTAGTATTTTTCAAGAGAAAATAAAAAGCAAATGAAAAACTCTTAATATTTATGCCAAGTAATAAATGTTTCTGACAGAAAGGATATGGATATTGACTCTTCCTACTGGCTGTGGTAGGCTGAAGAACTGATATATTGGTAATTACTAACTATCCTAGAAAAATAAAAAGTATTCTCAAATAAGAGGAATAATCTGAAACAACTAAAAATTACCTGTAGAGTACAATTCATCATCCTTATTATGTAGTCAAACTGTTGATGGTCTAATATTGCCCGGTTTTGCTGGACATGTAAACCAAGTTCATCAGTGAGACACTGTCTTGCTGCCTTTCCTTTGAGGGCTCTTAGTGCAGCAGGAAGGGTCTGAGGACAAGAGAGGTACAAGTGACCAAATAGCACCACTGGCAAAAAAAAGATAACTTTAGAACAATCATCCTGAAAATTCAAATGCATCCTGTAAACCATTTAACAAAGTTATTAGTAGAATTAAACTCCTAGAGAAGAGGTGATTTGTTCTTAAGAAAAATGATAAAATGGATTGGTTGGTAGTTACTTTTATTTTTAAGCCAGCAGGAAAAATAAGTAGAATTAGTTTATGCGGTAAACTGAAAAAACATTAAATTCACTTTTTTTCTTCAACTCACAAAACTTTGGTTACCAAATTGACTGTTGCTTTAGAACATGAGTCAAAGCCACAGATATTTAGACACCTTCTTTCTATAACTAGCCAATTCTCCAAGACAAGAATAGGAGAAAAAATTAAAATGATAAAAAGCACAAGTGATTTTATACTTTTAAACTAGTTAGCTCCTTAATCACTATTCAGCTTTAATTTCTGACTGGGAAGTTCTATAATCTCTTCTCATTTCAATATCATAACAAATAAAGAAAAAGGACTCAGTATAACAAAAATTGCTATCTCTAGGTTTATGCATTAAAACTCCTTTATTTTATCACAAGAACACTCATAAGGATGCCTTCTTCAGTGCACCATGTAGGAGTTAATTTACTTTACATACAATAATAATAAGCTTATTTAACTTGGCAAGTCTAAAAAAAAGAACAAAGGAGCAAATAAGGAGGAAAGGAAAAAGACTGAGAGTAGGAAGGTCAA